TGATAGCACCATAAAATCTTCAGGAATCAAGACTCCTAGGTGTATACATTCTGCCAGGAGTATGAAAATGAATGCTAGAATTCTAGCCATAACATCCTTGTTCCAGACTGTGTGCTGGAGGAAGAAGAGAAGAAATGTGTGATCTCTACCTTTTCAAGAAGACTTCCTGAAATGACACAACACACCCACATTTACTTCATCAGCCAGAACTTAGTCACATGGACACATACAAGGAAAACTGAATGAACACGTGTCCAACAAAAGTCCAGTTTCTCTTATTTAAAAAAAAAAAAAAAGGAAGAATGGATTTGGGAGGTAATTGGCAAGGTCTACCACAGAAGGTGAAATCTATAAGACTGAAAAGGAGAGGAAATTCCCTGGTGGTCCAGTGGTTAGGACTCATGCTCTCACTGACAACGACTCAGGTTTGATCCCTGATCTGGGAACTAAGATCCTACAAACTGCATGGTGCCGCCAAAAAAAAAAAAAAAAAAAGTCATAAGATTGAGAAGGAGAGCAAAGGAAAGGAAAAGGTGTCAAGAAGGGCAAGTTTTCCAGAATATATGGTTGAGAGAGGAATTACTCTTTTATTTGCAACTGAACCAATATACTCTAGTGTACATTTATGCATTCTAAGTTGTTGTTGGCAAGAATACTGGAGTGGGTTGCCATTTCCTTCTCCAGGGGAATCTTCCCAATTCAGGAATTGAACCCAGAAGCATTTTAAAATAGTTTACCCATTTGGTACAATTCAGAAGATACTAATATAGTTCTACTAGCAGATTTGGTTATAGCTACACATAGAAATTGGGGTTTCCAAAGTGGCACTAGTGGTAAAGAACCTGCCTGCCAATGCAGGAGACATAGAGATACAGGTTTGATCCCTGGGTCTGGGAGATCCCCTAGAGGAGGGCATGGCAACCCAATCCAGTATTCTTGCCTGGAGAATCCCATGGACAGAGGAGCCTGGCAGGCTATAGTCCATGGGATTGCAAAGAGTCAGACATAACTGAAGCAACTTAGCATGCACACATGCAAACATATAAATGAGAATTAGAAAAGAGCCATTTGGAGTCCTGACTATTACAGACCGCAATAGCAGGAATCACAGTCTATATCACCAGATCCTCAAAGAGATGTTATAAAGCCCTGTTTTATTATGATTATGCTTTGAAATTATATTTCCAAGAAATTAAAATACATGACTGTCCTTATCATTTTTAATCTAATATACATGATATACATATGAGCTATACAGTAGGCAAATAACTTGGTAGTTATTTTATTGACTGTTGTTTAGTCGCTAAGTCATGTCCAACTTTTGCAACCCCAAGGACTGTAGCCCACCAAGTTCCTCTGTCCATGGGATTTCACAGGCAAGAACACTGGAGTGGGTTACCATTTCCTCCTCCAGAGGATCTTACTGACCCAGGAACTGAACCCATATCTCCTGCATTGGCAATTGGGTTCTTTACCACTGAGCCTTTGATAGGGTCAAGAACAAATTGATGCTCATGGTCATAGGGTTTCTCAGATGGCTTTAAGCACAAAGTCCTCTATTGCACTTTCTAGCAAGTAAGCTTGTTTTTCCCAGACAGATTGGTGACCCCAGCTTTCCCTTCTGTTACCCCTCAAATGGGGCCTGAGTGCACAGTTAATCATGGATGGAACTGAGCTTAAGCCTAGATCCCAGGAGGAGCTAAGATGGCGGAGGAATAGGACAGGGAGACCACTTTCTCCCCCACAAATTCATCGAAAGATCATCTGAACGCTGAGCAAACTCCACAAAACAACTTCTGATTGCTAGCAGAGGACATCAGGCACCCAGAAAAGCCTAGATCCCTCAACATACCCAGTATTGATCTTCATGGGCCATATGATTCAAAACAAATTTTTATGTTTCCCCAAATAGAACTCTCTCCCCATGTGCAAAGACCAAACACCCAAAAGCACACCCAAAAGATGCTGCTGGACTGCTTAACAGCCCAGACAAAGAGGGATGAGAGACATTCTGAAAAGGGACCATCTCTACTCTGGACTCAATCAACAGATATGAGGAAGGAGGGGAGCAGGGAGTAAGAAAGGGACAGGGAGTAGAAAAAAATGTAGAAAAAACTTGTGTGCTTTGCTTTAAATTGTTTTGCTTTGGTTTTTGGTTAAAAAAACCTAGACCTAAACAATATCATAATGAGGCAGGTCAGTATTTACAGTCCTTCGAACCCCATTTAACCTTTCTGTGCCTCATTTGTTAAGTATGTTGGCCAAGATCACATACCAAATCAGTGACACAGTCATCATGAGGCCTCAAGTGCCTGATTCCCAGTTTCATATTTTAAATAAGCCAAGTGACAGAAGAGAGGGAAAAATTGGGTCAGAGAAAAAATCTGGCCTGAAAAAAATCTGTGTTTCAAAACAAAGCCAATTACACAAAGACATGATATTTCTCATCTAAACAGAAAAACAAGCTGGGACCTTAATATCTTTCTTTTCCGATGCATACACAGAGGCACTTTTCAATGGTGAGAAAGGCAAAATGATGGATCTACCCTTATGGTCAATTCTTTTATCTGATGACACTCCATTTCTTGTAAAATATTAGTGAAAGTGAAGTAGCTCGGTCGTGTCTGACTGTTTGCGACCCCGTGGACTGTAGCCTTCCAGGCTCCTTCCTCCATGGGATTTTCCAGGCAAGAATACTGGAGTGGGTTGCCATTTCCTTCTCCAGGGGATGGGAAAACAAACAGGTCAAGTAATTGCCTAATATAACACAGCTATAAAGATACAACTAATTAACAAAGGGGTATATGTTCATATAACTAACACCAAAAACAGATGTCTAAAATAACAATTGCTAGTATTTGTCCTTTAGATTCCTGGTCATTGAGATTGTTCCCCACCAATTTTCTCTTGTTTCCTTAACTTTAGATTCCTAAATGTGTACTTCATCTTTGATAGCTGCCTCTAATCCCATAAATCATGGTGTCTCATTCATAGTAATTTTTTGAATCTTGGCTTTCTGGCCTACATATCAATTTTGCTGGCTCCTTTGACTTTTGTGTTTATTACTCTTTCTTTCTCTCCCTCTTTCTCTCTCTCTCATACACATGCACACACACACACACACACACACACACACACACACACACACACACACACACAGAGGAAAAGGAGGAACTCCAGTAGGTTTGGCAGCCTCCAGCACTTTCCATCAAGCACCTGGGGAATATGGAAGAAGCACCATTTTTCTTATTCCTGGGACAAAAGCACTGTGAGGAAAAAGGCAGTGATGAGACCAAGTAGCTTTACTTAAGGCAAAACTAACAGGACTCACAGCTGGTCTGGGCTTGAGGAGGCAGATGAATATTCTCAGGTTCTCCTTTAACCAAAGTGATACTTCTTCATCAACCAGTTTCCCACTGGAGCACTATGCAGCCTTCCCAGCTGTTATATTTCATGCATATAACACTGCATGCCAGGACAGGAGTGTTGCCGATCCATTTATAACTCTAGAGTGTCATCTGTTGAGAATGGTCCAGTAATCCAAGAAAAGGAAGGGGCCTGCATTTGGCCCATCAAGACCTAACCTGCCACTCCCCAACCCTGAGCCACCCCAACAACCTCAGACCAGGAAACTGAGTACAGATGTCCTCAGCTTGTGTGGGGATTGGATCCAGGACAAACCCATCCCCACCAAATGGATGCTCAAGTCCCTTATATAAAATGGCTATTTGCATATAACCTATGCACATTCTCTTGTATGCTTTAAATCATCTCTAGATTAAGTATAATATACAATACAATGTCAATGCTATGTAAATAGTTGGCAGTGCATGGTAAATTCAAATTTTGCTTTTTGGAACTTTCTGGAATTTTTTTCCCCAAAACATTTTCAATACACAGTTAGGATGTAGAAACTGCACATACAGAAGGCTAACTCTACTGGCCTCCCAACCACAATTCAGGGGCAATGAACCAGGACCCAAGTCATGGAGCTTGTCTCTCACCTCACGCACATGACAGAACTTGTCAGGCACCCAGATAACCTTGGGAAGGCTTGACCTTGCTCATCCTAAAGGGGTGGATTCCTTTCTCTCTAAGCATTTATTCAGAATCACCCACCGCCACTATATGCATTGTTGTCAAATCAATTTATGTTTGTTCTCATCACGTAGAACCTGGACTCTTGGCTCCATACCCCAATGTTAACACCCATAATTAGCCCATATTTTAGTTTTGGTGATACTATGGGCTCCCCTCCGAGACCAGAGCTTTGGATCTCATCTAGTTTTCACCTTTGTTTATTTTGTTTGTTCATTCTTCCAGAATGAGATTGGCTTACTTTATTTTGATTACGAAAATACTATACATTCATTGTAAAAAATTTTTCTTTTTCTTTCTTCTTGGTTTAAAATAACTTTTTATTGCCCAGGATATTTTTTTTCCCTTGTGTCGTATTTTTTCTGTTTTATTTGTTTTTGTTTTCTTTTTTCATAACTATAAATTCAAGCTTCCCTTTGTCTTGAAAAACAAAACAATGTGTAGTTTTCATATCATTTGCAACCTGGTCTCATTTGAAGAGACAGGTGGGAGTTATCTTGCAAGAGTAAGATTTATACCATGAATGGTGCAGGTCTAGGTCTGGTGGTACTGAGAGGAGACAACGGCATTCTTGACAAAGTTAAATTTGCTGGTGGCGTTTGTGGAAAAGAAGCCCTTGCAAATTTCTAAATGACAGTAAACTCTTATTAGGAAATTCTGAAGTGTTCTACAGGCCAAAAAGGGAATGAGGTTAGTAAAATGCCTCAACAGAGTTGGAATAAAATACTGAATTTGAGAGTTACTGGAACTTGGATATATAAAAAGAAGGTGGAGATTGGCACCCGCTTACAATGGTCTCAAGTTCAAATAAACTATTGTTACAAGACACCACTTCACAAGTCACACGCTGGCCCAGGGGCTCTTCTCTTCCCTCAGTAGATGCTGGCAGAAGGCGTGCTCAGTCATTTTGCACTGTAGATGCCTAGCCCCAAAGCCAAAACATGGGATAGGAAGAGAGATGGAATGAACACCTTAAGAAACTCTGCGGAGAAGATCCCCCCTTTCTTCATGGCTTCACTTTTCCTCATGCTTAAGGAAACAGAACGTTTAGGGTGCCTGAAGTGGAACTCCTTGGGTGGAATATTTTCAGGTCTATTGGACCAATCAGACACCCAGTCTACACTTTTCTTCAGAGCATCCACCTCTTTCTCTCCTTCTACAACTTCTGACTGAGAGCTATGGTCCTTGCTGGTGTGCATTTCCACATCAAGCATGATCTGCCCATCTTCTTGTGGGGAAGGGCTGTCTCAGTGAGAACTGCCTCTTGAACTGCTCTGTCTGGATTCGTTCTGTTTATCCAAAAGAATCTTCTCCATGTCCCCATTGTGGATGGAGGACGGGGAGGGTACAAACTCTAACCCCCCATTCTTCTCATTGCCATTGCTGCTGTTCATGGGCAGCTCCACCCAGGAACTGTTGAGGCCAGCAGGTGGTGGCAAAGACCGTTCACCTTCCTCACAGTTATTGCTGTTGTGCGGGGGCGGCAGCTGTTCTACTGAGACGACATTGTCAGGTGGCTGGAAGAGCTGCGACCCAGCAGCAAAGACCGTCTCCGATTCTCGGGCATCAACACCAAGAATTTTTCTAAAATATCAGCCAATTGAGATTGGTTATAAAAGATTTTCAATTCATATCAGAATATATATATATGGAACTAAAGAGCTTCTTGATGAGGGTAAAAGAGGAGAGTAACAATGCTGGTTGAAACTCAACATTAAAAAATCCAAGATCACAGCATCTGGTCCCATCACTTCATGACAAATAGAAGGGGAAAAAGTGGAAGCAGTGACAGACTTTATTTCCCTGGACTCCGAAATCACTGTGGATGGTGACTGCCATCATAAAATTAAAAGACGCTTGCTCCTTGGAAGGAAAGCTAGGACAAACCTACTGTGTGTGTCCTCAGTTGTGCCTGACTCTTTGCAACCCCATGTACTGTAGCATGCCAGGCTCCTCTCCTCATGGGACTTCCTAAGCAAGAATACTGGAGTGGGTTGCCATTACCTCCTCCATGGGATCTCCCCAACCCAGGGATTGAACCCAGGTCTCTTGCATCTCCTGCACTGGCATATATACAAAAAATTCACAATCCCACTACCCAGTTGATACCCTCTCTGACTCAACTAAGAATTTCCTGATTAAGCCCTGAGGAACCCCATTCATCTAAGTGGTACCAGCCGCTGATATTCCCTGTGATTAGATTTGGTTTGCTTGACAATGCATGAGGATCCAGAACTTTTGTCATAAACAGGGTGAGAATACTTGGCATTCTATCTCTCACCATGTGCTGGTCACAAGGTATATAGGTGGATCCATCATCCTCATCAGCACTGAAGGCCTACAGCCATGCTAGACACCTGGGATAAACACCTGCAATATGAAAGCAAATGATTTCAGACAACTGACCTGGATTTACCCAGTCCTCCCAAAAGCAAGCACGTTCAGACATCAATTTGAGACCTTTTAACAGTCTTTAGGAGATTGAGATACGTAACACACTCACATACATTAGGCATTCACTATGTAAAGTGCTTTATATTATGCATTTCATTTTAGATTGCCTAATATTTTAGAATTTCTCATGTCTCTGATTCAAATCTAAAATCTTCAAATAGATGTTTTGATTTTTCTAGAAGCAAGTACTTGTCTATTGTGAGATAGTTAAAGCTTGAACTTTTTACAATGTTATTCTTTTAAAATACAGGACTACTTTTAGTGTACCAAGACCATAATTTTAAGCTGCTTTCATTACTCTCTATATAGTCAAGTCTTATTCAAGGCATTCGTGATTCTAGAGTAAGGGAAGAGCTCCACCTTATGGTACTGTTTTGAAGTACACCAAGAAAAGGCCACGATTTTTAGAATTGTTCTAGAAACTCAAGAGGGGCTTCCCTGATAGCTCAGTTGGTAAAGAATCCCCCTGCAACGCAGGAGACCCTGGTTCCATTCCTGGGTTGGGAAGATCCGCTGGAGAAGGGATAGGCTACCCACGCCAGTATTCTGGCCTAGAGAATTCCAGGGACTGTATAGTCCATGGGATCGCAAAGACTCGGACTGAACGACTTTCACTTCGCTTCACTTAGAAACACAAAGGGGAAAAGGATTAAAAAATACAGACCACTCCCCCAACAAATTGTAAATCCTCTTCCATGATATGCTCAAAGTGCCAAAATGGCCAAGGCTAAGTAAAAATTAAGCAAAATCTTTCATTTGGCTATTGAACTGGATACTAAATTGGTAAAACAAGAGTCCTTTTTACTTGATACCAAACATTATCATCATAACTAATGATTCTTGAGTTCCTATTATGAACCAGATTATGGCATATATATATATGTGTGTGTGTGTGTGTGTGTGTATATATATATATAATATATGTGATATATTATAAACATATTTTTGGGGGCTCCAAAATCACTGCAGATGGTGATTGCAGCCATGAAATTAAAAGACGCTTACACCTTGGAAGGAAAGTTATGACCAACCTAGATAGCATATTAAAAAGCAGAGACATTACTTTGCCAACAAAGGTCCGTCTGGTCAAGGCTATGGTTTTTCCAGTGGTCATGTATGGATGTGAGAGTTGGACTGTGAAGAAAGCTGAGCGCCAAAAAATTGATGCTTTTGAACTGTGGTGTTGGAGAAGACTCTTGAGAGTCCCTTGGACTGCAAGGAGATCCAACCAGTCCATCCTGAAGGAGATAAGTCCTGGGTGTTCATTGGAAGGACTGATGCTGAAGCTGAAACTCCAATACTTTGGCCACCTCATGCGAAGAGTTGACTCATTGGAAAAGACCCTGATGCTGGGAGGGATTGGGGGCAGGAGGAGAAGGGGACGACAGAGGATGAGATGGCTGGATGGCATCACCAACTCGATGGGCATGAGTTTGAGTAAATTCCGGGAGTTTGTGATAGACAGGGAGGCCTGGCATGCTGCGATTTATGGGGTCGCAAAGAGTCAGACACGACTGAGTGACTGAACTGAACTGAACTGACTGATAAACATATAATAAATATACACTATCATATTAAATATTTATTAAATATTTTATTACACATATTAATAAATATATACAATAATATATTTATATTGTATATTTATAAAATGTTTTTAGTTTTTATAAAATTTTGTTAATTAAAAAATTTTTTAATATAAAAATATTTATGTTTTATAATATAATTTATATAATAAATATCAAATATTTATTAAATATTAAATATATGTTTATTATATTAAATTTCATTTACTATAAATATATAATAAATATTATATATATATGCACTAAGTCGCTTCAGTCATGTTCAAGTCTTTGTGACCCCATGGACTGTAGCCCACCAGGCTCCTCTGTCCATGGGATTCTCCAGGCAAGAATACTGGACTGGGCTGCCATGCCCTTCTCCAATATATATATATATATATATATATACACTAATTTAATACTCACACAACCCTATAAGAGAGATACTATTATAAACTCCACTATCCAGATGAAGAAACTGAGGCCTAGAGAAGGTACATAAATTTCTCAAGGCCACACAGCTACTAAGTGGTAGAGCCGAGACTCACTAGCCCAGATTCTAAACCACCATGCCATACTGCCTCTTTCTAAAGCTCAAATTCAGTAAGGTCTCTCTCAAAATAAACAACTTGAAGCCATGCTCTTACCCATTCTTTCTCAAAATATTCATAGATGAAGGCAAGACAAGATCCCTGGTTCAATTTCTATTCCTCTCATGGTGGTCCAGATTTGTAATTCTTTGGTTTATCTCCTGTGTTCCTTCCCAACTTTGACAATGATTCTATTTGTGATTTTAAGTATAAAGTATTGCAGTAGAGAGCTAAACACTGAACGTTTGCATCCCTCCAAAATTCACATGTCGAAACCTAGTCTCCCATGTGATGGTATTAGGAAGTGGGGACTTTGGGAGGTACTTAGGTCATAAGGGTGGAGCCCTCATGAATCAGATTAGTGCACTTATAAAATGCACTCTCGGGAGCTCTTTGCCCCTTCCACTGTGTGAGGACACAGCCAGAGGTTGGCTATCTATGGACCTGGAAGCAGGTCCCCAGAAGATATTGAATCTTCCAGCACCTGATCTTGGACTTGCCAGCTCCCAGAACTGTGAGAAATAAATGTTTGTTGTTTAAGCCACCCAGTCTATGATTTTTCTATTATAGCAGCCCCAAAGGACTGAGACACTGAGAACTTAGATTTTCTGTCTCTTCCCCCTATTTTACCTCAGGCCCCTCAAACATCATTCATTTAAACTCATGTTGAAAATGACATATTTCCATAAACAACAAGGTCCTACTATAGGGCACAGGAGACTATATTTAATATCCTGTGATAAAACACAATGGAAAATAATATATACATGTATAACTGAATCACTTTGGTGTACAGCAGAAATTAACACACTGTAAATCAACTATACTATAATAACATTTTTTAAAGGATACATACCTAAAAATTTACCAGTGCTAATATAACTCAAATCAGAATTTTTCCTAAAGCATTTATTTCTTTAAAAATGGTCTCCTGTGGTACTTTTTTAAAACCTGGTAGAATCTATAGATTTTTTCTGTGCAGTTTGAGCAAGCACTGGGTTTCATGGAAAATCATAAATGGTATTTTCTAATATTTTCAGCATTAACACCTAAGTCATATTCCATTAAGGGAAAAACCATTTATTATTTACCTAACAAAAATTTATTGAGCTTTTACTATTCCTAAGCTATAAGGACACAACAATGAAAAAGCCAAATATGGTCCCTGCCTTGATGGAACTTATGGTTCTGAACACTATTCAAGATAGAAAAGAGAAAGGAGATGACTCTGACCTAGAAATGCCTTCTATATATATAGATATACATTTTTTAAATTTAAGATATATTTTAATATTTAATTTACTACTTTAATTTATCATTTAATTTTATAATTTAACTTATATTTAATTTACTACTTTAAAACAAAAGTTATCAGCATGCACATTCTCTGACTAGATAACCAAAAAGTAAGTTTACAATCTTTCTAATTCCACTGACAGAAAGCAAAATCCATGAATATTCCATTAGGGGAAAAACAGGATTTTATTCTATACTCAAAAATTACCAGATGACATTTCTCTCAGACTGCCAAAACAAGGAAATTAGAGAGGCCTAAGGCTGTCCTGGAAGCCACCATGCCATGGGCAGCTTGCCTTTGGAATTTGA